TTTCTACTGTATTCTAGAAATGGTAAATAGAAACATGCTGTCATAAAGAACACATAAAAGCATTTTCCAATCTGTTGATGTAGATTACGGGATATCTGGAGCAGAGACTTCTGTAGGTACAGGATAATGTATTCCTGACCCTAGTTCAATAAGTAATTTCTAAATGAATCAGTTGCAGGCTTACTGTCAGTTGAGTTGACCTCAAAACATAAATATAAATAGGTTGTATTAATTGTAGAAATTAAGATGCATGCAGTAGTTGAGATGATAGCAATGGCGTGTGCCATTTTAATGACATTTTTGCAGCATGAGTTAAGCATATCCATTGTTCACTATGACACTGTTTTGCTGAAAACTGGAAATAAGTGCCAGTTTTTGGCAAAGTCATCATAAAATGTGCCATGTGGTTGTGGGATGCTGCAGATGGCCATAAGTGCAGCCCTGATGCCAAGTGCCCAAAGTGCATTCATACTGTTGGAACTTTGGGTCTAGGTCACAAGTCTCCTTTTTGTAAACTTGGTTGTAACTTTGAATAGTTGTTAAGCAGTCAGTCATAAGTCAAGGACTTAGATGAAAAAACAAAAGGAGATGCATGCAAACTAGCATTTTATCTGCCCAAGATTATAAACTTGGATTGAATATATTATTACTGAGCTTGTGCTATTGTTTTCCATCGCTTGAATTATTTTCTGTTTGCATAGGGTGGGAAAGACATCTCTTATGAATCAGTATGTTAACAAGAAATTCAGTAATCAATACAAAGCTACAATAGGAGCAGACTTCCTGACCAAGGAGGTGATGGTGGATGACCGATTAGTCACAATGCAGGTAAGAGTGTGCTTTTAGCATTTTCTTATAGAAGACCCCATTTCTGTTTTCCATTATTTAATGTATGCCAACATATAGAACATTTCTTACGGGGTTTTTTTTTCAGATTTTGCAGGGGATGGGGAAGTTCAGCTGTAATTTAAAAATCTTAACAAGATAGTGTGGGGCCTTCAGAAACACGAACTTCATAAATTTGAAATTAGGACAAACATATGCTTTTGCTTATTATTATGGGACATCCTCTCCCCACCCAAATGGTCTGATAGAGACAACATTTTCCCAGTATACGCATCTGAGAAGAGATCAGAGGGGTCAGCACCCAGGGAATGACCATCTCAGTAGTGACTCCTACTATTCCAGCCTACCTCTGAGGATGGATGTATCCTTATGTATTTTAGAAAATAATGGTAAAGACAGTCCTGTTTAGGAGGACATGCAGGTAGCAAAGTAAGTAGATAGCCGTAATTTTTACTAAATGGCTTTGTTTTTAATGACTACCTGTGGATGCTTTTCGTGTCATCATTTTGTTTTATTTTTATGGCAAGCTGACTACAGTCAAACTAAACTGCATGCAAAAAAAGCTACAGATTAAAGTTACCTTGCAATATGGGAATTGACTTGATTTGATAAACTGGCCATCTTAGAAAGATTTCAGATCTAACATAGTTCATGTTTTCTGTTATTTGATAATTATAAAGATAATGAATTGATTGTCAAATTCTGCTACTCATCTTTAATTATGGGATCTTACTATTGCTGTACCTACCTGTTTCNGGACCTTGAGTTTGACAACCCTGCTTTACTGCTTGGTTTGAGGAAGATACAGTTGGTATCATGACTCTCATCCAAGGAGTCACTTTGATCTGTCTTCATTCAGAATCCATAGAATAAATACTGTTCAACTTCATACTCTCTTTCAGAGGAACTAGCAAACCTTGAGTTTAAAATCACACTTCTATAAAAGTAAGATCTTATAGCGAAAAGAAATTATGAAGTGCTTTCTCCATGAAGGAAGGAATGTGATTAAGCATTCTGAGCCCACACATGTTGTAATCTGATTGTGCAGACTTGTGCCAAGTATTGTTCCTATGGTAACCTGAGGGAATAAAGAGAAATACAGCAATAAAAAAATATAATTATCAATAAAGCTTACTTCATATGTGCAAATACTAAAATTCAATTCTTTAACCTCAGTTATTCTCACCTTTGTTATCTTTATCAAAATAGCAAACAGTTCATTAAATCCCCTATATCATCACATGACTGGAATTCAAAATCCCCCTCCAAAGTTTGGTGTTGTATGCTAAGGCATTTAGCAAAGTTATTTAGTTGGGAAAATGAACTTACATATAGACTGGTATGCCTTAGAAGAAATAAATCAACAATAGAGTCATACCTTAAAATAGCCACAGCAGTCTTTTCTAAACTGAACAAATTTGGAATATGTAACACTTTTAAATTGTGGTACTGTGATTGAGTATTTTGAGGGTTGAAATCTACATACTGAAAGCTACTAATTGGAAAACATTGATTTACAGTATCCGTTTTTCTCAAAATAGTACAATGATGAAACTTTGAGTAATTAGCTTCCTATGAAATACCATTTTGTCAGAAATAAACCATAACTCCAAAAGGATATGGACAAGAGTATGGTATACATTAACTAATTGTTAATGTTAGGACTTTTTATATTTGTAATAACTATGACTGGCTGCTGGTATAGAGTGCTAATTTTTTGTAGATGTTTCAAATTTCATAGATTATATCAAAGGCACTATTGATAAGGCCTCATTTTATCTTTAAAAATGGTATTTTTTCATGGAATTTTTACCAGTTAAATGTGTTAAAATTTATAGGAAAGTGCACACTTGATAACATTACATAATGTTTTATGAATAATGTTAGTAGTTCCCAATTTGGCAGATTAGAAGGAGGAGATTTAGGAGATAATTTCCACACAAATAGTCCCTTTGTTTACCAATAAAGGAGAATCTTTGCAGCTCAGGTTGAAATGAGAAGCCCTTGGTGCTCTCTGAGCTTGATTGTTTTCTTGCAGAGGTTTCAGTACCCAAACTAGATAACATAATCAGTGCTAGTCATTATGATTTCCAAGGCATCATCATCAGTAGCACAGATGTTACCTAGTTGGGTAATGCAACATCTGCAGGAAAACAACCAAGTCCCTTTTTTGCTGAATACTTTACCACCAGAGATCTGCTCTGACCCTTTTTGTCTTTGGGATGCAATTTTTTAAAAAGCTGTTCCAGAAAGATTTTTTAATTAATGAAGATAATGCCATAAAGTTATTGATACTGTCTAAAAATATTTTTCAATATTATTGTTTTTATAATCCTTATACTATTGTATCCTGGATGTTTTTCCTTGAAGGTGGTAAGGGTGGCAGGACTGCAGGGTTTGTCTAATAAATAAATGAATGCCTCAATTTTACTGATTGATATCTGAATTCTATTGAAAGTTCTTTGACTAATTTGTATTAAAATTACCAAGATTTTCCCCCTGGGTATGTTTAAATGCTTTCTGAACCAAGGTTAAGCCTTGTAGTTGCTAACTGAAGTAGGTGCTAATTAATTTTGCGTTGTTATAGTAGTAGCATTTAATCATGTAAGTGTTAATAATTGCAGTTGTGCTCTGCTGGTACTGAGTAGCTCCATTGGCATTTGGAAAGCAGTGCTGTCATGAACAAAAAGTTTACATGAGAGCTGTGGCTTTCAAAGTTGTATTCATAATTCAAACATCTGAAAGAAAAATTATTTGAATCAACAGAATCTTAATACATTGAATCCCCATCATTGAAGATAACATGGAGGAAATGAATCCCATGTTAGGTGGTCTTTTAAAAATAAGGGCTAGTTTTATTTTTTAGAGCAGTACAATAAAACCATGATTTACTCAGTGCAATGGACTTTCTTGGAAGGGAACTAAATGTCATTGCAACTTTATTTCATGTATTATTTAAATTTCATGTTTATGAGCACCCATATCCCTCAAAGAGAGAGTATTTGAATACTGCAGTACTGCATTTATCGTTTGTGTGATGATGTCATGATACAAATGATTCAAATTGTTAGCATGGTTTGCTATGATCAAGTCCTCTTTGATTTACCATATTTTTTGACTATAAGATGATCCTAGATTTAGCAGAAGAAAGCAAACAAACAAATAGTTTTTGGCCTCTGCACATCACGTTTTCACCCACCCCGGCTGCCAGAAGCACTTTGCAGACAGAAATCAGGCCCATTATTGGCCTGCAGATTGCTTCTAGGGGCGGAGAGAGTGA